CTTTTTTTCAATCATTTGTTTATGTATTTTGTTGAGGTTGATGCCCATTATTGTGAGTGTCATGATCAGCTGTCCAAGTTAACATCATTGTGCCACGCGTACATTTTCTGACGGTACTGAAAATTATAAGCATATATTTGCATGCATGAGCCACGGAGCCAACAGTTAATGGGACAGCTCCACATGAAGCTGTCCCATTAGCTGTTACTGAGCCAACAGTTGACTCCTTAGTATTACTGTATTTGCATAATATTATATATACTATTGCTGTATGGTAGAGCAATGCGAACATAGCTTAGTTCGTAAAAATTCGAGTTTCATTCGTTCGTTTATTAAATGAGTCAAGCTCGAACAATTAATCGTAAATGTCAAGCCAAGTTTGTTTGAAAACAGCTCTTTTTATTTTTTATGAGTTTTACTTTGTGATCGGACATTTTTTGTGAATAGTTTGGTTAAGGTTTTATATTTATTAATCAAGTTGAGTTAAGTTGAGCTTTTACAAGCAAACAATTTTTAGTTCGATTGTTTATCAAACGAACACGAACTTAAATAGGAGCTACTCAGCTCGACTCGGCTCGAATAACACCACTAGTAGAACTTTTTAATATTCATTATTTAACATAAGAATAATATGTTAGCTTTGTTCCGGAAAAAAAAATTATGCTAAAGTAAATTTCAAATATAAATATAATGATTGTAGCTTATATTGTTTTTAGCCAAGTGCGGAGCCATCATAAAGGCTAGGGTGTGCTCAAGCACGGCCTTAAATTTTTGGCTTTCTTAATCATAGAGTAGTAAAAAATATTTTAACTCACATTATATTAAATTAGCTTCGTATTAATTTTATTTTGGCTAAAAATAGAATAATTTTTTTTAGATTAAATCAATGAATTATACATTTGAACATGATTTGTGTCTCTTTTCACTTTCTTTTAGCTTATTCTGTCGATTTTTGTCTTCTCTTTCTGTTTATTTTTCATTATTTGGTTAAATAGAGTTCATTTGAATAATTTTAGTCGAGTCAATATTTGATTGTGTTTTATTTTCATTATTATAATACTTAATATGAAACTGAATGTTTAGATTTTAGAGTCGCGTTTAGATATTCATTAAATTTTTAAATAAATAATATTTGAGTATATGAAATTTACTATTAAATCTCATTTATTTGTGTGTCATATTTAATGAAATAACATATGAACATTAAATTTTGATTTGTCATATAACAAGAATGATGTAGCCATGGTGGCCCGTTTCCTGCCGTCCATCGGACCGCTCGACTGTGGGCTACCACGGGTGGTTGTTTGTTGTGTTTTTGTAGTATTTTTCGTATGTTTTTCGTGCCTTAGTCGTGTCTTTTTAGGTTCGTGTTAGTGTCGACCGATCCATTTTATCGTATTTCGTGTATTTTTGCTCTAGTTTTGTGTTTTTGTGTTTCGGCGTATTTTCTCGTCTCTTTTGGTGTTGCTTAGGTCAATTTTGTCGAGCTTGGGAAAACAAGCCGTCTGAGCTGCCCGAGCCATGGCCGAGCCGTCCCGAGATGTTTCCGAGCCACCCGAGCCGTCCCGGGCCATGACTGGATTCATACCCGCGCACTAGCCGCACTTGCTTGCACCTGCCCGCGCCTGTCTGCAACACTCGCAGCGGACCCATGTCAGCGACCCCGCGAGCCTCGCGCGCCGAGCACCCCAGCGCACTCGGAGCGAGGGTTGTCTCGCGAGCGTGCGAGCCACGCGCGCCCAACAGACCAAATCAAGGCACATTCGCTACGAAACCCATTTCGAGATCCAGCGAGTCCGAAATTTCATTAAATGTGTATATTTTTAGTGTGTGTTTGTGGTGTAACTATAAATAGACATCTTGCTTTTTATTTTTGGACACCACCCTCATGTCCCAACTTTTTAATTGGGAAAATAACTCTTTTTCTCTTTTTATTTTATGCTTCTGTTTGGAGGTCCAAGACTTGACATTTTTCGGCGACTTTTCCGGCCGCGATTTTCCGGCGACCATATTTTATTCGAAATTCAATCTTTACGCATTATTTTCGTCCGAGCTTACGATAGGAGGGTAAGTACCTTGATTAGAGCTTATTACTTCGAGTTTGTTTTTTTTGCCAGAATCTTGTGTTAATGCTCGATTTAAATCTTTGTTTTATTTTTCTTGCGTGGTTAAGTGTTAGGAGTTAAGTTTGTACCTATTTTGTTATAAAATTCTCGACTTTGTTAAAACGTAACTATTTAGTTAAGTAGGCTTGGTTTATCTACCTAGGATCTTATTGCTAACATGTTTCTCTTCGTTGAATTTCATTTTTGTCAAGTCAAGGAGACTCTGTGCAACCAAAGTTCCAATCTTTTCTTCCGAACTCTCACCTTTCTTCAAATGCTTTCAATTCTTAGCGCAAATTAGCTTAATTCCACCACCAATCAAGTGAGTAGTATGTTTAGGACCTTACTTTCCGTTTTGTGAATTGACGACTGGATAGTGAACGAAGCTCTAAACAACCTTCCTCCGAGAATACGACCCGAGGTCAGGATTTATTTCGTACTCAGCTAAAAACTACAAAACAGTGGTGCCTCCTCGGATCCTTGCCTCGGCCCTCCGGTGATTTCTTGGCGGCTCCCCCTTCCTCCCCCGGTGTTGAAGTTCTTCAGAGTTCAGATCTGGCCCCAAAATCTGTCTAGTCGTTGAGTAGCCCCAATTTTCAGGTTCGATGTCTAGTTTTCTTGCTCGGTTAACGTTCTTTGTTGTCGGTGTGACTCGATAGTCAGTTTAGGTGGTCATGGGGTTCAACTGCTATGGTTAGGGAGGTACTATTCTACTTTGTTTATTAGGAGTGAGTTGTTTTTATAAGTCCAGCGGCGTCTGACATTCAGTCTCCGTTAAGGAGTTATAGTCTCCTTTATGGAGTTGGGTTTTGTGTGTGCGGTTGTCTCTTTGATGGAGTTTGTATCCCTTGGACTCGTGTATTTCCAATGGATATGTCCAGGCTTCTAGTTCCTATTGTGTCAGTTGACACTCCATTTTTACTTTTTTTTTGAGTTTTTTTGTTATTCATATAGTTATCGTTTAAATAAAAATGTTTTATATGGAACTTTTTTTTCTTCATCAGTTATGTACTTTATCCCTTTATTGGGTGATATGATATGGCGAAACATGGCATATCCACGTAATAAAATATATATTAATATTAATGTTAGACAAATCGAACAATTAAACATTTAAATGTTTAGTAATAAATATAATATATATTTTAAATTTAATACAAATATGAGTATAACATTTGATTTCATAATATAAAAAAAGAAATATTTGGCTTATGTCAACATAGTTCTATACAAATGTTCTATATAAATTAAGCAAAACACTTTTTTAAGCTTTTTCTCAAAAGAAAACCATTAGTAGGATAACATTAATTTCTGTTACATTGAAAATACATATTATCTATCTAGTATAAAACGCCGTTTACCACAAAAGTGCTAGTTAAAATATTTATACTTAAATTTATTAAAAAATGGAAGAGATTATTATTAATTTAAAATGACATAATTCATTATACCCTTATTTTTATATTACATTGTAATAAATTTTCTAACTCTATCATACAATAACTTTATAGATAAATTTGTTTAACTGATAAATAATTTTATTATTATTCAATTAATATCAATAGATAACTATGTTTTATTACAAAAATAAGTATAATAATTTATTTAGATATGTAATATGGATGTCAAGACGAAAACACGTTACAATATGATTTATTTGGTATATTATGTATCAAAAACTAATAACATATGTTAACTTTAAAAAAATATATATAATTTAAATTTGTCAAGTATTTTAGAATTTTAAAAGTCTTAATAGATATGGATCAAAGTATAAAAACACTAAAAATTGACATATAAGATTATGAACACATACGACGTAACAAAATTCAACATATAGGAATAATGAAATACAACAGACATAGAAATCACTACATTAATATATGATCAAAAATTCTATAGAGCTATCGGATGATTTTTTTATGAAGTCATCTATCAAAACTGAATATATGATAGTCACTACTGTTTACAAAATTCACCAGAAAAGCTCATACATTTGTTTGAGGTCTATGCTTTAAATAAAACGAACACACAGAAATATATTCATCAGAAAATAAAACACTGTTAATTACACTAGTATAATATTATCTCCCAGTTAGAAAAATAAAAAATAAAAGTAATATTGTTGGACTACATAAGTCTGTCACAACTCACAAGGATAGATTCACCAATAAGTGGGCCGTGATAATGGATTTTGTGGCCCATTAATATACATTTGTCTACTCAGCAACTGGGCCCTTATCTACGCCATAATCATATCATCATGGACTTGCTATTAATGGTTCTTTTTGTTTCCTGCAAAAAGTACCAAAAAGACCACAATAATGGATTATTGAAAGAATGTCATGATGATGAATTTACCTTAGACTATCCCAATTAGATCAGATTAGGCTGATAATGATGACAGGTCAAAAATTATAAACCCTAAATAATATGAGAAATCCATAATATATAGTTAGGTGTAGAGGAGTCAAACCCGAATTCGAGCTTTTAATACTCGAAGTCAGGCTTAAAACTTCAACTCGTTAACTAAATAAGTCGATATACGAGTTTGAGTTCGACGCATTTATCAATATTTATTAATGATTCGAGCTCAAATTTTAACAAACAGAACTATTGAAAATTATATATTTTTTTTATTATTATTCTTGAGCCTTAGCAAGCTAAGCTTAACTTGACTCATTAACTAAACAAGCTCAAACAAATTTAGCTGAGCTGACGAACAATTCGTTTCGAGATGCTAGCAATGAAGTTTATGAATGCGAAATGAATACGATATGTAATATATAAAAACAGGAGATTTGATCCCATTTGAATCACGCATTGAATTCAATGCTAGCAATGAAGTTCATGT